ATAGCATCCAAAAGAATACTCAGCGATTAACTTAACCAGGGAAGTGAAAATCTTGTACAATGAAAACCTCTGAAAGAAGTTAGTGACAAACAAATGGAACACATCCCATGTTCAGGAGTTGGAATACTGAATATTAAGTTGTTAATATTACCCAAAGTGATTTCCAAAGTAATGCAATCCCTATCAAAATCCCAATGACAATTTTTGCAGAAATAAAAAAACTTGTCCTAAAATTCATATGGCATCTCAAGGGATCCTGAGTAGCCAAAACAATATTGAGAAGAAGTACAAAGCTGGAGGACTCACACTTGTAATTTCAAATCTTACTATAAAGCTACAGTAACTAAAACAGAGTGTTACTGGAATCAAGACTGACATATAAACCAATGGAATAGAATAGAGAGAAAGCCCTCACATATATGACCAAATGATTTTTGACAAAGGTGCTGAGACCATTCAATAGGGAAAGGACTGTTGTTAACAGAAAATAACAAGTGTGGTGAGGATGTAGAGAAACTGGAACCCTTGTGCACTGTTGGAGGGAATGTAAAATGATGCAGCCATTGCAGAAAACAGTATGGCAGTTCCTGGGGAAAAAATAAATAGAATGACATTATGATCCAGCAATTCCATTTCTGGGTATATACCTAAAAGAATTAAAAGCAGGGTCCTGAAGAAATATTTGACACCCATGTTTATGCCAATGTTATTCACATTAGCTAAAACATGGAAGCATCCCAAGTGTCCACTGGCAGATGAATGGAAATGCAAAATATTATATTTACAATGGAATATTGTTCAACTTTAAAATGGAAGGAAATTCTGACACATGCTATAGCATGGATGAACCTTGAGTACATAATGCTAAGTGAAATAAGGCAGCCACAAAAAGACAAATTCTGTGTGATTCTGTTTATATGAGTAGTCAAAATCATAAAGACAGAAAGTAGAATGGCGATGCCAGGGGCTGGAAGGAAAAGGCTAACAAGGAGTTGTTGTTTAATGGGTATAGAGTTTCTGTTTTACAAGATGAAAAAACTTCTGGAAAGGATGGTAGTGATGGTAGCAAAACTTCATTGATGTCATACCACTGAACTGTACACTAAAAATGGTTAAAATAGCAAATTGTATGGTTTTGTAGTTTTACCACAATAACAAAAATGGAAAATAAAATCAATGGTTATGGTGAAAAAAATATATATATATTTAGGCATATATTACTTCTGTAATTTAAAAAATTAAGGAAAAAAGCTTTAGAGTATGGTTTTCAGCTTGCTATTAAAAAGAAAGTCACAATCTCAGTGCTCTGTTGCTTGTTTGTTTATGTGTGTTTTCAGAGGAGGAGGACACTAAAAATATAGTGGTAGAGTTTTCTACCACTATAACCGCAGAGTTTTCTACTCTGCCTAACGTATAACCTACCATTCTCTTTCACATAGATGTATTTAGGGATTTGGGATAATCTGCCAGGGGTTGTGAAATGTCAGATGGAACAAGCACTTCATCTTGATTTTGGAACTGAATTGGAACCAAGAAAAGAAATAGTGTTATTTGATAAACCAACGAGGGGAACTACTGTACAGAAATTCAAAGAAATGGTCTACAGTCTCTTTAAAGTAAGTATATCCATTCACATGTTGTCAGTGTGAAGTGGTACACTCTTCTGGATGAATTGACAGGACCTTTTTTAAAACCACAAAAATGTTGCTATTTTTTTTTTACCTCAATCAGGGACTCTGTCTTGAGAGAAATAATTCAACAAAGAAAAAAAATGTGTGGAAGATGTTTATTTTAACATTAAAATAACAAAAAATGTGCAGGTATGAGAGTGGAGTTCATTAGATAGGCTGCTTTATAGTTTGATATTGTAACTGATACAATTTCACCTTTTTAAAGGTGAAATAAAATTAGTACACCCTGATTTGCAAATTATTTTTTAAAATTTAAAGAAAAACTCATGCAGAAATTAACTAGAAATATTAAAAGATGAAAATAATTACAGTTTTAGAAAGAATCCTCTTTTCTCATTGTTACTGCTCTTATATTTTCACGTATAATCTTTCTTTTCTCTGGACAGTTTACATTTTCAGACTGTTTTATCCCAGAGAACCTTCACAGGGAAATGCTTTTTAACCTTCAGTATTGGAACAATGTAACTTAAACAAAATAATTATGTTAATATGATAACTACAAAATAGAAAATAACTTTCAGTTGACCCTTCTTATAACTGAATATGAGCATATTACACTGCAATTTTGCAAGTAAATGTATGAATAAGACAAAATAATCACATAGTGTCTTGGTTAACTCTATTTATGCAGTTAATGAGAAGGCTATGTGAGTTAGGGTGGCCACTTCTTAGCAAGCAGACTTAGCCAAGTTTTACTGCAATTACATAAAACATAGTTCTGCCCTGGCCAGGTGTTCAGCTGGTTGTAGGATTGTCCCATACACCGAAAGGTTGCAGGTTCAATCCATGGCCAGGGCACACACCTAGATTGCATGTTTGATCCCAGGTTAGGGTATAGCCGTGCAGGAGGCACCCAATAGATACTTCTCTCTCTCCTCCCCGCTTTCCCCCTCTCCACCCCTCCCATAGTCCCCCACAAGTCAACAAACATCCTCAGGTGAGGAGAAAAAAAAAAAAAAGCGTAGTTCTAATTTAGCAAGCTTCATAAATACTTGAAGATATTTAAAGTTCCTTTAGGGGATTCAGTAGCAAGATTATTACTTAGTATGGCAATCGCCATAAAGGAAATCAGTATATTTTTCATTCCTTCTGTTTAATTAGCTAAAATCTTATCTTTACAGGCAAAATTGGGTGACCAGGGAAATCTCTCTGAACTGGTTAATCTCATCTTGACAGTGGCTGATGGAGACAAAGATGGCCAGGTTTCCTTGGGAGAAGCAAAGTCAGCATGGGCACTTCTTCAATTAAATGAGTTTCTTCTCATGGTGATACTTCAAGATAAAGAACATACCCCCAAATTAATGGGATTCTGTGGTGATCTCTATGTAATGGAAAGTGTTGAATATACCTCTCTTTATGGAATAAGCCTTCCATGGGTCATTGAACTTTTCATTCCATCTGGGTTCAGAAGAAGCATGGATCAGTTGTTCACACCATCGTGGCCCAGAAAGGCTAAAATAGCCATCGGACTACTAGAATTTGTGGAAGATGTTTTCCATGGTCCCTATGGAAACTTCCTCATGTGTGATACTAGTGCCAAAAACCTAGGATATAATGATAAGTATGATTTGAAAATGGTGGACATGAGAAAAATTGTGCCAGAGACAAACCTGAAAGAACTTATAAAGGATCGTCACTGTGAGTCTGACCTGGACTGTGTCTATGGCACGGACTGTCGAACTAGCTGTGATCAGAGTACAATGAAGTGCACTTCTGAAGTGATACAACCAAACCTGGCAAAGGCCTGTCAGTTACTCAAAGACTACCTACTGCGTGGTGCTCCAAGTGAGATTCGTGAAGAATTAGAAAAGCAACTTTATTCTTGTATTGCTCTCAAAGTCACAGCAAATCAAATGGAAATGGAACATTCCTTGATACTAAATAACCTAAAAACTTTACTGTGGAAGAAAATTTCCTACACAAACGACTCTTAGTTCATTTTCACATTATGACCATTGTGGGAAATTTAACTTAGAAAATTTTAAGCATTTAAAAAAATGGCTTCTGATTCAAATCCTTGCCAGTCACACAAAATTCCTTTCCCCTGGTCCTAAGAAGCCATCATCTTAAAATGTCAATTGCTGAAGTAATGGCAGGAGGTATAGGATCAATAGGCCCAAAAAGATTGTTCCTGCTCTTTCAGAAGCCCTGGTACATTTCTCAGTACATTCACTGTGTAATATTTTGACTGACTGAAAGTAATGCTGTGAAGCCTCATTCCATAAACATCAACAGTGAGAGTATTTTGTAGATTTATGTTAGCCAAAATACCACTGCTGGAAACATTGTTTGCATTGAAGCTGCTGTTTAAAATTTATACGTAAATTTACTAATGTCTTAGCATGGTCAAGTTTGCACATTAACAGAAATCTGCAAAACAGATAAATTAAAATGACTCATTTATAAACATGTTAATAGTATGCTTTGTTATATTAGACTTAAAACACATTTTAACTCGACACCACACCATGTGGCTTCAGAATGTTGAAGTTCTACCTGAGCCTCTAAAAATTCAGAATCAAGTGTTCTTAGCAACATGTAATTGCCACTTTTGGAAAACGGATGAGCTTTCCACCTTAGATTCAAATGGTTCATCCTGTTACCACCCTGCCAATTGAGTCCTTCAAAAATGATCATCTTAAGGCCAGACCCAAGTATCTTGAATTTTTGAGTTACAGAGAAGTGACACATTAAGAAGACTCTAAGTCAGAACTTTTTAAATTTGGTATTTACCACCAGTGTTTCCTGTTGGACAAAGGGCTATTTTTAGAGGCATGTAAATTTATCCAGCGATTCTCATGTAAACTAGATGTACAAAGACTTGAGTCCCTGTCCTGATTTTCATGTTTGTTGAGATCTGGGATGTATCTTTCCGCATCTCCATAAAACAAAACACCTTTTAGAGAAAAGACCCAGTTATTTTCTGCTCAAAAATTTCACCTGATCAAAGTATCTTAGTTTTGTGACCTTCATTGGACAGCTCTCAAAAATTAAAGGCATGGACCAGTACCAGTTTTAATTTAAAGGTAACTACTCTTCCCACTAATCATCTGGTTATGATAAATGAAATATTTCCTAGTGGAAGATCGGTATGTTGTTTGCCAGACTTTTAAGGGAAAGCTGTACACCATGTAATGTGAGGCATAACTCATTTCAGGGAGAGCAGAAGCCCAAGAAGCCCATGTGAACTTTTGAGTCAATATGCAAGACATCTTTTTCTGGAAAAAGCTATACTTGTTTCTTGAAGAAAAGGTCTGTCAATTTCAGGGTATTTCCCCCAGTTTTACTGACAAGAGCGTAACATCGAAATAGGTGCTTGTTTAATAAGTTTATTTTCATCATCTCAAAACTTTGCACAGGAAATTGTGGTTTGGTTTATTAGCTCTCAGCAGCTCGTTCCTGAGCTCTCAGGAAGCTTGCTTTCTTCTGAGCTACTCGATCTTTCTTCTGGGCAAGAGACATTTTGGGACGATTCCACCTATAAAACAAAAGAGACAGGAGTGTTATGTTTAAAACCACAACTAATGAGGATAGAAAATATTTGACTTGGATTGAAAAAGAAACTTTGTAGTAAGATTTTTAATACATGTACTTATTTATGATTTTAAGCTAACTTTCCCAAACCCCAACTTTTGTGATACTGTCCTTTTACCAGTGCCAAAAATCAAATAAACATCTTAGTACAATGTTTAGAATTATTCAGTATTAGCGGTAACTGGTAGTTACACTGTCCTAGGATAGAATGGACCACCTCAGTAGCTTCTGAGGCCAATACATTTCTATCACCACGATTACTTTAGCAAACCTGGTTCCCTTCACTTCTGCAACATCATGCAGAGTTAGTGATCGAGTTTGCACTTGACTCAGTCTGAGTTAGATGAAACAAGGCGGGGAACCCTGCTAACTCTCCCTTGAAAAAAACAGTTAAGATGCATACCTCTTCTTTTTAACTTCTTTCTTAGGCTTCTTCTCATAGACTGGATTCTCTCGTATAGCAGCATGAGCCTTCTTATACATGTCCTCCATCTGAAACAAAGCAAAGCAAACAGTACTTGGTTTCATTTCATATGCCCTAAACAATAACATGACAGACTGTAATCTATTACTTACTCAATTTTGTCTAAGCCAGATTCTTAAAAGGCACTCAACTAGGTCAGCGCTGGTATCTGCTCAAATTTCTAAATTTCTTTTCCTAAAAAATTCCCAATTTTTACCATAAGAAATATAAGTTGACATTATTCATATTATTTTCTTGAAGAGAAATTTGAATGCATTTCTAAGGACCTTAGCTGTATTTTTTAAGTCCTTCAAGCTTAGAGCAAATTGATTTCTGTAGAAATACATTTTATGCTCATTTAAAATGCTGCCTGACCTAAATTCTTTCATTTAAGGGAGGATACATGCCAAAAACAGTCTTTAAGATGTTAAGATTGAGTATTGGGATGGTAAATACACAGATGATGTATTGTATTGTAGAATTATATACCTCAAACACACATAATTTTATTAACCAATGTCATTCCAATTAAAAGTAAAAAGATTGAGTGTATGGGGCTGCCCTGGCTGGGTAGCTCAATTGGTTAGAGCATCATGCCGATATGCCAAGGTTGCAGGTTCAATTCCTGGTTGGGGCACAAAAAAGAACCAATGAATTCATAAGTAAGTGGAACAACAAATCAATGTTCTCTCTCAAATAAATTTTTAAAAAAGAGTGTATGAGCCCTGGCTGGTGTGGCTCAGTGGACTGAGCGCCAGCCTGTGAATCAAGAAGTCACCAGTTTGAGGCTCAGGGCACATGCCTAGGTTGCGGGCCAGGTCCCTGGGTTGGGGGCATGTGAGAGGCAACCAACTGCTGTTTCTCTTGTATAGTGTTTCTCTCCCTTTTTCTCCACCTTCCCCCCTCTCTGAAAATAAAATCTTAAAAAAAAAAAAAAAAAAGAAAAGAAAAGAAAGAAAAGAAAAAAAGCCAATTAGCAATTGCCAAGTTTTTTTGTCCTCGCACATTCCCCAGATTTACATTTTCCATTAATATCTGATAGTTCTTTCAAAGCTATTTCTAGTATCATATACCAGGGACCTCTTATATCAACTACTACTAGGAGCCACTAGTTTCTGGCAGTATTATTAGGCTTCTGGAACCAGAAAGGTTAAAATGTCTCCAGAATACCGAAAGGCCATCCAATTAGTTATCATAAAAGAAAATTTTGTTCTAAAACATATCAAAACAAAAAACAAAACAGTGTTGCAACTCTATATTGTTTCAACTACTGCCCTCAACTCTTAAAGAATATAGGTTTGAAATATGCAGGTCCACTTATATACAGATTTTTTCCAATCAATATACAGTTGGCTCTCAATATCCCTGAGTTTCCCATCTGTGGATCGAAAAATTTATTTTCCATCCACAGGGAGCAGCGGCAGTAAAGTTTTGGGGGAGTCAAAGGTTTTATATGGACTTCTGACTGTGTGTACACACACAAGGGGACTGGTGCCTCTAATCCCCACACTGTTCAAAAGTCAACTGTAAAAGACTTGATCCTGTGCAAGACCATCATGAAGAATGGCTATAAAATGACTGTGTGTTCATTATTAAAACTAGTAAGAATTGCAGCCCCCTAAAAAAATGAGACAGGTAATCCAGGTCTTTAAAATTATTCAATGTGGAGATTACTACATGCATTTGTGTAAAGCTTAGGGAAAGAAAACAAAAATTTTCACTACATGTGACCTGAACTACCTAAATTCCTTTTGAAAGTTAATTTCTGCACCTCTTTTAGCACTCTATTACAGCTCTCCACTGTATTTAACAAACCCATTTGATCACTTCACATGTAGACATTAAAAAAATTAATCTAAACCCAGTTCATTCCTTCCAAGAGATCAGACAAGCAAGAAACACAATCAGTTATGTAGATAATGCCAAGAATTTAGGTAAAAAACACTTCCTGTTGGAAACATACCAGGTGTCTGCATAGGACTTCAGTGTACATGCATAAGGAGAGATGCTTCCATAGATAAAATTAAGGAGCTAGCTGCAAAGTACATTAACCTAAGAGCGTTCTGGCCAAAGCATAGAATCTATACAGGAAAGCATTAGGAAATAGACACTTGAAAACACAGAGTGAGAGTTTAGAATGTCTTGAGCATATATGCCTAGAGCAGAGCAAGAAGCCATTTAGGAAGAAAAATTTTGTTAGGTCAAATAGAATCAGTCAAAAAGACCTTTTTAGCAGGGTGAATGAGGACAGTTATCAGCAGTAACCTAAGGGAATATACTCCTGTGTAGTAGATGCTTCTATATAAGCAATATAAAACTACCTTTTTCCTAGTTCAAAACTCAACCTATGGTGTTTACCCTGCCCTAGACTATGTACTGTACAAAACATACAAATTACAAAGAAATCTTTTCACAATAACTATTTTAAAAATAACTTCATAACCAAAGCTATGCCAAAAATAGAAACCATGCACTAACAGAAAACACTTAATACATAACCCATCCACTTATATTTGTAACAGCTTTACAGTAATCAGTGTGATTTTCCTACACTTTTCACTACAATTTCAAAACTGGTGCTATCATCAATTACTACAAACTGTTCACAGAGGTAGCCCTGGAGACTCAAGTTTAGGGGTGATCAACTTTCCAATATTAAACTCACTTTTGCAAATATTGTTTCCCCTTACTTCTTCAGCATTATGCAGAACTAATGTTAGAATCCTTACATCTCCTTTTCTGCGTATATGCCTAAGACATTCAGCAAGTCCAGAACATAGCACTTGTTGGCTATGAAGAACCTTTCTTCCCCATGGTATCAAAATGAAGTTTAATAACTAGCACCTCAAAGCAGCAGAGTAGATTAAATTAACTATGACCGCAGGAATGAAATCTTGAAATACAGAACAGCCAAATACATAAAAGCCACCAAAAGCTTTAGATTTGGATGCTTAAAACCTGCCATCATTCAGCATCTAAAAGATTCCTGAAAGCATGCTGGCAAGTCTAGCTCATTATATTACCTCATCCTTTAACCTACCCTGGGTTTGTGCCATTTCATTTTAAGCCAAGGGCAGCTTATGAGTCTGTCTATACCTATGCACATACCCACATTTAACTTTTAACTGAAACTAAAATAAAACTATATAATGTATCCACCAAAAAACAAACAGTAAACCCAGTTTCATATAAAATTTTTACCATGTCTGGAGTCACATTGTTCTTTATGTATTGAGAGAATTGTTTCTTGTAAGCATCTTCATCTTCTTCCATTAGGTAGCGCATGTAATCTGCCACATTCTGACCCATGATGTGTTTCCGGTGCACTTCCGCATTGAATTCCTTGCTTTCTGAATCATAACCAGGGAATCGTTTGGTACTAAAATAAAAGTTTTTCACATTTTAGTATATACTAATTGAAATCTCTTCACTAACAGGAATTCATTTCAGTAGCTGCCATCAGTCCCGTCTTGAAACAATTAATTGCATCATATGCAACCAAAGGACCAACTACTGACTGCTCAGTTGGTGGGATATCATCATTCAGCAGCTATTCTCTGAATTCCAGAGTAGAAAAATCATGCCTCAAGTACCTTTAAAACCATTAAATGAACCAAAGTTTTTCACTACTATGTTAGTTTTTATTATCATAGAAAAAGAGTTTCAAAACTGCTCCCCCCAAATCCTACAATTTCTCAGTGGTGTCTCAGAGCAATAAGAGTGATTTATTCAAAGTCACATAGATGCCTCTCCAAAAGGGCTGCAGATCCTCAAAAACAAATGAAAACCCCTCCCCCACATTATAAGAGCATGTTCCAGTTAGGTTACATTTTATAGGCTTATAAATATGTAAATATAAGTACATATATAGATAGGTTTTTTTTGGTTAAATCACCAACCACTAAAATTATTTGTAAAAAGCTGATAAATCACTTTAAGATGTATCTACACAATAACAAAAATCATTATTTCAAACTAAAGGAACAACCAAATTAAAACCTACTTAGCTTCTAAGCACGGCCTACAATCTTATTTCCAGTTGAAAGTTTAGAAATCTGTTTTAAGCCTTTTTCCTCAAACTTTTTCTAGAGTCCACTTTTTTCCATTACTCAGTAAAGCCATTTTCTTTCTGAATGAAAAAAAGAAAATGCATTGAAAGGGAAAAGGAAGTGGTGGTGAAATCAAGTTGCTCATTTCTAACCAAAGCCAAGCAAGCTACACCTAAAAGGTAGTGGTTCCAACCCTGGCTCTTCCACTTACTGGCTCCAAAAACTTGGACAATTCACTTACCTCTCAATCCCAGTCTCTTCACTTGAAAATTACATTACAAATTCCTTTCTGCCCTGCCAGGTTCCCTTTGCAATGTCTAGCATACAGTAGGCACACAGTGATAGCTATTATTACTTTTAACTAATTCAGTAATCTCCACAATCCAACTAGTTAGAAACAGCAAAGTACTGCAGTCCAGGCAATGAGGCCTTGAATGCTGTATTACCTGTGGGGAATAGACAAGCCTCCATCCACAGCTCCCTTCAGGGCCCCAAACACTTTATTTCCAGTAGTAGTTCTGGCAAGCCCTGCATCCAAATAGCAGGTGAAGGCACCTGGCTGACCATCGATACTTTCCACATTGTATTCATCTCCAGTCACCTCCACTTGGCCTTCATATATTTTGTCCATGCCAAACCTATTGAGAAGCTGTTAACAAAGAAGCCAGTATAAATACCTGCCCAAATATATTCAAATAGCTCTAATAACATCAAGTCACAACATGAATGACCTCTAACAAAAAAACAATTCCAAGTTACTTATCCTTTAATCCCAATCTACTTTTAAATATCCATTTTTAAATGCTACAGAAACTTCACTCAATTTCACCAGCTGTATCGACATTATTCAACAGCTTCTTAATCTGACACATGTTCATATTTGATTTATGCAGCAACTAAGAGGTACATAAATTTGATTCTTACATAACACCAAGTAATCTTATTTAAGAATTTTATTACTCAGTCTTCTTTGGCACTAATTCAACAACCAAATATTAAATGTTATCACATGTAGTTCTGAGTGGGATCTTGGGATGAAAACATCGTTTGTGGCTCTATCTCTAACTACACTATGTTAATATGGGCAACTCCTCTCAGTACACATCACCTAGCTATGGTTTCACAAGCAGAGCCTTTGCATCAAGTCACTCTTATAGAACGACAATATTCTCCACTCCCACTCAAACACATAACCAGTGAAGATGTAGGTCCCCAACAATGACGTATGCTTAATAATTCCACTGCAAAACACGGTCAGTAACTGAGAAAAAAATAAGGCAAAGTCACATTTTCATCTTTTATGCGTATTACAGAAAATGCTGCCACCCAGAGGCAAAAATGATTGAAACAACCCCCTCCCCCCCAAGTTTACGACATGGCTTCTTCAATTTTAACATGCATATAAATCACTTGGACATCTCATTAAAACAGATTCTGAAATCTGGAGCAGTCTACATTTTTAATGTATGCTTATGGTCACAAGATCATTTCTAAGTAGATCTGCCCAATAAGGTAGCCACTAAGGAGCCACAAGTGACTATTCAAAGTTAAGAATTCCGTTCATCAGTAGCACTAGACACACTCCAAGTGCTCAACAACCACATGTGACTGCAGCTACCATTATCAGCACAGATTACAGATATCACTGAAGAAAATTCTATTAGTCTAGATATAACAGGGCAGTAAACAGGAAAACTGCTTACCCAAATTATCAGAAAATGCACTGCTGTCTCAAACCCTGTATTTTTTAAATCATCTTTCGTAATGATGCCCTTGTAAGCCACGCTACCAAGAACTCTCTTGACCCATCAGCTGAAGTTATCTTATTCATGTGTCAACATCTATCAGACAACTTCAAACAATGAGCTAATTCCAAAATACATCAATTAAAGTAATCCTGTACATACCCTTCGGGCCAACAGCAGGCCAGTACAGTATGCTGCAGCATAATTTGTCAGGCCGACCTTCACACCATACTTTGGGAGTTCATGAGCATAAGCTGCACAAACTATCATATCTCCTTCTATACGAGCATAAGCAATCTATAATAAGAGAAAAACCAGGTTAGTAATGTGCTTTCACTGTCAAAAGTGACTTTGTTTTCAAAGAACTTGACAAAGATCACCACTTAAAATCTATCTTTGTTAAACCCACTAAACTCCAAGAAGTTTATGGTTTGATCCACTAGGCAGGTACATTTATGAGTCTGTAAATATGTCACAGTATGTCAGGCCAAAATCACCAAAGGGACACTGAATATAAAAATGCTTCTGAAATAAATTATACTGTAGTTCCTTACTTCTAAATACTGAAAAGACTTAGCTGGGAATTAGAGGCAATTTAAAAAGGCAAAAGAATCCCCAATTATTTCAAACATCTTTTGAACTAAGCATATTTTAAGCTCAAAAATGTTTCAGACATCTAGTGTTTAGTCGTCTGTACCTAGGTGCAGAGGAAGACACTGCCTTCTCAACCACAAATTTCCTTGCCTGGAAAACTGGCACGCCTGCCTCCTGCATGCAAAGACCCAGAAAATCTCAAGTAAAAAACTTTTCCCTGGTAAAATTCCAGAAAATTATCTTCTCGGAGCATGCTGCCACTTTTTGGAGATCTTTGATGTGTAAGACAACTTCATACATGACAGTTAAAACCTACTTCAAACAGTAAGCAGGAATAAAAACAATCTTGAGATTTCCTCTTTGCAATGACCCACGGTGGATATGAGGTGTCTCAGGCCGGAGAGCAAGCGCCAGGATGCAGTCCATAGCAAATCCCATCACTGCGCTGGAGTTGGATGGGGCAGGAACCTTCTACTTGGTATCAAATTTATCCGCCCACCCCATCCACCCTCACAAAATGGTGGCAATACCATAAATTTCTTTAATCCTCTTTTCCCCCAATTAAAAAATAAATGGGGCTAAACTAGGTCAAGATTGTCAAAAAACGGCTGATCTTCAGAGTATTTTTTTAAAGAACCAATTTCTCAGGCTCCAATTTAAGATCCACAAAAGGAAAAATAAACCAACTCAATGTTTTTGGCATGCCAGACCTCACACTTGGTGGACCTTCTAATCCACACACCCGCTTTTTATTTCCCAAGTACAACTTCTCTAGCCCCCTGAGTTAGGGGGTGGGAGGTTTTACCATCATGGCTCGTGTCTAGAATGCAACTTACCTGACAAATGATATCTCTGTTGGTTACACGGACTATCATCCTGTATTTGGGTGTGTTGTACTTATTTTTATCCTGAATTACCAAGCGTTTCCGGGCATAGTAATCAGTTTTACCCTCTGGAAAAAAAAAGAAAAAGAAAGTCTATTCCATTGCAAAGCAGATTCCTTTAATATTGTGAACATGAAAACCCAACCATACCTCGTCGTCTTCTAAATTTCACTTGGTATCTCTTGAAGTAGGCCTTATTTTTGACAACTTTTACAAACCCCTTGAAGAAAAAAAGAACATCATTAAAAGTCTTAGACTATGATACTTTTGACATCTGAGATGTAACAAACTAACACTTGAATTTCAAAAGTAAATCTAGACAACTGTCACTTTTGTAAAGTGCAGCTTATCTCAAACCATCTAAGGTCAAGAATCGCTTTTTCTACTTTCCATCTGTCAAGACTGATAGGCGACTTCCTCAGACCAACGATACAGGATTTCTGAAGCACTCGCCGCTCTCCCGGAAAAGCCACGAAGCAGTCAGGCATGGAGCCGGGCTACGAGGAGCCGCAGCCCGGCTCCACTGGGCATCCTCCAGCTAGTGTGAGACCGACTAATGCAATCTCCCCAGCGCTGCCGCCTGTCAGGCCCCCCTTGGATGAGCTGGCACTACTCCCTCAGTTTGTCTACCCAATTCACCGCACTCCCACCCTCAATCCGTGCCTCAGCTTTTTCTCTTTCCCAATCCCTTTCCCCTCAAGCTTGCGCGCCGGGCGGCAGCCATTAAGGCCACGCTGGGAGCGGCAGCCCAACCAGGGCAGAGCCTGCAATCTAATGCCATCCGACCCCTGGGCTGCGCAAGATCGAGCGTAGGTTGGCATTAGGGCAACGTGAGGGAACCCTTGTCCACCTGTATTCCTGAGATCGGGATACCCACTTACCATCCTGCGGATCAAAGACCCAGGTCCGAAGCTTGCCACAGACCCACAAGCCCAGCTACGCTCGGGTAGAGGGAAAAGGCCGCAACCCGTGCGCAGGCGCAGTATGTAGCGCCCGCGATCACGCTAGCGACGTGTAGAAGAGAGATCCTCTTGCCGTCACACGTGCGGCATGCCGCCCCCTGCTGGTAGGAGGACCCACGCGGGCCTTCGTCTTTTTGCCGCAAATCCTTAATGCTCCTGGCTGAGGATGATCCCACTGCGACGGACGGTAAGCAGTAATAGGGAGGATTACCTGTAGGAGGCTTTCATTTTTATGGGCTGAGAAATTATTTCATAATGTGTGTTACTTTTGTAAGCAGGAAAAAAGTTTAAAGACTAAATAGAAAGAATTTGCCCAGGAGCTTTTTGCCCCCTCCGGGACTCTGCCTCCTGAACTACTCTCATCCTGGTCTGCAACAGAGTCCTCCCAGGAAGCCTTGCCTTAGCGCTCCAAGCCTGGGTTAGGGGCCCTTCTTCGGCCTTCCTACAACGTCTTCCTACCTGCTTCGGCCCGCCCTGAACTGTAAACCTTTGAATCTCCAGCACCTAGCGCGGTGCTGACATTCTGTATAATGGTAAGAGAACTGCTTTCTCCTTCCTGCCTCTTTACCTCCATCACCTTCTCTGACTTCTGACCTCCTCATTCCTTTCCCCTCCCTCCTTCCTTCATATCTAGTCAGCTTAACTTTTTTTCTGCTTATGTCTTTTTTAATTCATTCTTTTAAAACGAATAGCCCTGGCCACTACCTCAGTGGTTGAGCGCGGACTGCGAACTAAAGGGTCGTCAGTTCGATTCCCAGTCAGGGCACTTGTCTGGGTTGCCGGCCAGGTCCCCATTTGGGGGCGTGCAAGAGACAACCACACATTGATGTTTCTCTCCCTCTCTTTCTCCCTCCTCCCTTCCCCACTCTCTAAAAATAAATAAATAAAATAAAAACACTAATTTTAATAAGTCGTATTCTCCACACGGAGACTGAAGAGAACCAACCAATGAACCAACTTATTAAACAAAGAAAGCACCTCAGGAGAAAATATTCCCTTATCTAACATTATTTTAAAGGTGGTATTTGGACTACTGCATGGGAATTATTTGGGTATTAGTTAAAATGCAGGCCTATGAATATATGTCACCTCTTTTGAATCAACCTCACTGGTTTGGGGAGTGGAAACCTGCCTTTTAAATTTGGCTTAAGTCTTACTCAAATCAACAGGTCTCAGGAAAGTAGAAAACTAATCCTATTTTGCCCAATAATGGATTACCTACATAGTAGGAAAAGAAGACAAATTACTTACCAGAACAGCAATTTAAAATAATGGCATCCTCACAATGAATATTAACTCTATACCTCATCCTCCAAAGATTTAAGCCCGCTCTTGTGAGATGGGTATGCACGATTTTAATTTAGCAGGAAAGAATCAGTGTCTCAACTGCTCACTGTCAGAGCTGGGAGGAGGATCTGCCAAACCAGATGACAAGGTTAAGTGGTTCCAAAAAACTGCTACTAGAACAAATCGGAATTATGATGCTAGTTTACTCTGGTTTCAATTTGTAACTCACCATAAAACCAGAAAAATGTACATTGAGTCCCCTCTGGCCAATGGAAACAGAGCCGTCAAGGAGAAATGTTAAAACACTCCTCAAAGGCAAGTATGGTTCTATCTTTGTTGAGGGGCTTTTAGAAATACAAAGAAAGAGACATGCAATTTGTATTTATATAATATTGAAAGGCCTTTATTTTCGTGGTTCATCTAATTATTAGCCTATGACAGGTGCCTTGGTCAGGCCCTGCTTACACTGAAGGGCAGGCATCAGGGAAGAAAGGCTATATGGAAATGGGCCTGCCCCTAACTTTTGCATGTTTTAGGGCAATAGCACATGGGAAGACCCACATACCCTTCATCTGAATATTTAGAAGTTCTGAAGCAAGCTAGCCCATTGTTGAATTAAATGTTTTATTTTTCTTAACCTGCTTCTTCCTACCTTATAAATATTTATAACAAAAACATTTGAAATATGTGTATCTATTCGCTGTGGTTGTAGCTGGGGGTTTGCCGCTAGCATGGTTGGCTCAGCCTGTGCAGGTGGTGACACCGGGAGCCAGGGGAAACTCATCTGGCAGCCTCGGCCAACTAACCTTGTTCAAGGTAAAAGTTAAAAATCACCAGTAATGGGGCAAGTGAACTTTGTGTTCCTGCTGATACTATATACTGAGAAGAACACAGAAACATTTTGTGCCAAATTTATATAAGCTAATCTAGTTACATGATTTAACTCTAATCTGATACATGATGAATCTGCATACAAACTCAAATTGAGGAACATTGTATAAAGTAACTGTCCAGTACTCTTCAAAAAAATGACAAAATCATGATAGATAAGGAAAGACAAAAGGAATATCCCAGATTGAAAGAGACCAAAGCGACATGACAACTGCATACAATGTGTGATCCCAGATGCATCCTAGACAAGAGAGGAAAATGAGAAAAAGGAAGGCTTTTTATTTCTTTTGTACAGAGGACATTCTCAGGACAGTCAGTGAAGTCTGAATGGAGTCTGTGGATTAGATGGTAGTAATCAATCAATGTAAATTTTATTTTGATAGATACGCTATGGTTGTATATGAGAGTGCTCTTTAGGAAATGTACTCTGAGCTCTTTTAGAGTAATGGGCATTATTTCTGTGATTTACTCTCAGCAAATGACTACAAAAATCCCATATATATGTATATAGATACATATGTGTGTGTAAAAAGAAAAAAATGAGGCAATTGTGTTAAAATGTTAACAATGGGGAATCTGGGAGAAGGGTATATGGAAATTCTTTGTACTGTTCTTACAAATAATTTGTAATTTTGAAATTATTTCAAAGTAAAAAAATAAAACATTGATTCCTGGTGGAATGGGAAATATTTCTTTTATTATTTGAAATGAAAGTAAACTCAGTTTTATTAAATATGTCAAACGCATTATAAATAGAATATAAATCAGCGACTTTTAGTTCTGGTAGTGATTATTTAACAGCAAAATATGAAAAGATTTCTATGAAGTTCCCATATATTATGATTGTGAGGAACCTGCTTACAGCTCTAATCAGCAGGTTCTGTATTGAAACCACTGACTTTCATGATTATTCTCTAAAAGCATCTTGTTATTTCAAAATGGTTTTTCTTTGCAGTTGCTTTTTGTTTTACATTAGTTTATGATTATTCATGAAGGGTAGCAAATGGAGTGGACTGCTTTCTGGTTGAATCCCCTTTATTGAATTTAATCCTTTAGAAACATTTAAAATATTTTAGACCTGTACCTTTTATCTGGGAAAAAAATAGCCTTAAGTGAAAGAATAATCTTTGTTTCTTTTTTTAAAAAGTGTAAAGCTATGGTTTTTATGGGCCCAAGAGTTGAATATCAAGGACAACCCCATGCAATTATGATTGAGTATGTCTCAGTGTTGTTCGTAGGCTACTGATGTCTGAACGACTAATGAGATGAAAGCATACACAATTCCTAAATTATAATATATTTCTTTCATAAAGGTTTTTGTTCATATCTTCATTTCAGCAAAACTTCTATGTTATCACAAAGCTACCACGTCATTTATGTTCTACAGATAGTAATGTCAAATTGAACAAACTTTTTGGTCATTGTAATTCTTAAATAATTTTTATTAATTTCATGTAGGAGAAATTTTGCTGTGCTGAAACAAGAAGAATTGGAATTTTAAATCAAATTCACAAAGCAATACTTAAATTTGGAAATGAACTATAATTTTTTCATATCAAATTAAAAAAATGTGACAGTGTCATATAATAAATTACTGTTTTCCTAAACACTATTACTAGATATTTGATATTGTCATATAAATCACTGTCAGTTGCATTGAGATTTTCTTTCTCTCTTACAATAATATCTCTATCCATGCAGATTTTGTTACTCTTCCAATAGTTAAATGCTGGGGTATGGTACATAAACAAAAAGAGCAGTATGTTGCTCAATTTGTTCAAATGTCTTTTCTATCAGACTATGCAATGGTTTGTCAGGGTCAGGAAACAATCTCTATGGAAATTAACTTTAGGTTTATTTATTTACTTATTTAAATTAAATTTATTGAGGTAACATTGGTTATTAATGGGTATTGGTTATGTAAGTTTCAGGCATACAGTTTCAAAATCTGGTCTTCTTCCATCACCATATATTTGACCCACCTACACACCCTCTACATCCGCTTCCCCCTACCTCCCCCTCTGGTAGCCAGCATACTGTTGTCCGTGTCTATGAGTTAGTTTGTTCTCCATTTGTTACTTTCTGTTTATTTCCCACTTATCAGTGAATCATATAGTTCTTGTGTTTTTCCATCTAATGTATTTCACTTAGCATGGTACTCTCAAAATCCATCCATGTTGTCACAGAAGGCAGTGTTTCATCTTTTCCTCTTTTTAAAAGATTTTATTTATTTACTTTTAGAGAGAGGGGGAGGAAGGGAGAAAGAGAGGGAGAGAAACATCGATGTGAGAATCATCCATAGGTTGCCTCTTGCATATGCCCTAAGTGGAGACTGAACCAGCAACCCTTCCCTTTGCAGTGTGACACCCAACTAACTGAGCCACACTTGTCAGGGCAAGTGTTTCATCTTTCCTGATGGCTGAGTAGCATTCCATTTATATATATACCACTTCTTTTTTAAAAAAAGTTTATTTATTGATTTTGAAGAGAGAGAAGAGGGAGAGAAATTTTTGCATTCATTGATTGATTCTTATATGTGCCCTGACTGAGGATTGAATCTGCAGCCTTGATGTATCAGGGCGATGCTCTAACCAACTGAGTTACCTGACCGGGGCTGTACCACATCTTCTTCATCCAGTCACCTATGGGAGGACACTTCAGTTGTTTCCGTGTCCTGGCCACGGTGAATAGTGCTGCACTGAACATAGGGATACATATATTCTTATGAAAAAACATTTTCCATTTTTTTAGGTAGTTACCCAGAAAAGGGAATGCTGGGTCACCTTGTAGCTCTGTTTGTAATTTTTTGAGGAATGTCCATACTGTTTTCCATAGTGGCTGTACCAGTTTACATT